TTTACTTAAGAAGACCTGTCTGAGATCGATAACTAAAAAGATATGAAATATAAAACAGAAACACGTTCTTTGAAAACTAAAATCTGAATGATTATTTTACTGAAATTCGACTGACGTGCATAATAATTTGGAAAACAGTGTATATGAGACAGAAAAAAGCTGGGAAAAAATAGGATTTCAGTACAACAAAATATTTGTATATGATTTCTGTCAAACAAAAATAACTAAATCAAAAGGGCAGCTATAAACGGAAGTAGAACAACCTTTTGTTGGTTTTCCATTTACTTAAGAAGACCTGTCTGAGATCGATACCTAAAAAGATATGAAATATAAAACAGAAACACGTTCTTTGAAAACTAAAATCTGAATGATTATTTTACTGAAATTCGACTGACGTGCATAATAATTTGGAAAACAGTGTATATGAGACATAAAAGCCTGACATGATACTCAAAAAAACTATTTATTATTAGAATATTTTGTCTAAAGGTTCAACTAAACTGTTCCATTTAGAAAAAAAAATAATAAATTCAACAACTATTATTTCCGGTTTTACAGGGTTAAGATTACACCATAACCACATGCCTAACTGTGATGTATCCTATTTCAGTTTAGTTACACTGATTACTTTGTGTAGTGGATAGTAAATGCTGTAGTATCATACAAATGCCATTAGATGGCAAAATAAAGCCATTTTTGTAACTTAACCAAATTGAACCATTCTAACCCATGGTCATTTCAATTTCTCAGAGGTCTTGCCCTGTCAGTACTTCCAAAGGACTTTAAAACACAGAGCCTGGAATGAAATTGTCTGTGTTATAGGTATCTGTTGGGGTTTGGGACAGTGAGTTATTACCTGGGCTATAATGCCATGCAGGATTTCTTCCCGAGCATGGCAATGAAGGCCAACCCACAGTGTGACAACAGACACTGCAGACGACAACAGGACGAGTACAAGGTGACAGAGATTTATTGATTCATAAAATATATAATAATTAAATATTAATTAGCCACAACATTGTTAATTCTGAAACCTTTAATTTTAATTTACATTTATAATTTATTTTAACTTTATATACAATTTTTGTTCAGTTTTTAATTCATCACTTTCACTGAACATCATCACTTTTTTTTCTTCTTTTTTTTTAAGTTTACAAAATTCCAAAATATTAACAACTATATATTCTAAGTTTAATTTAATCATGGATGTACAAAAGGCACACTGTGACAACCAGTTAGTATTAATACTAACAGTATATGATGTGATATTTCTTCCTTACTCCAGAAAAAAGAAGCAGAGCAGCCAAAGCAGGAAGTGGTACAGGAAGAAGAGGAAGTGGTGCATGAGGACAATGAATGGGGTTGGCATCCCACACACAGCACATTCCTCATTCATAAAACAGAAATCTTTAAATGTTATGTAAGCTTGAACGTGATGTTGTTTCCTGCCAGGCATCGAGCTGGTTTCAGAGGTGTCAGAGGCAGAGCTTCAGGATGCATCAGGACCGGTACCAGATCTGCCGGAGGGCATTACTGTAGCCTACACCATACCTGAGAAAGTACGACCCACTGAATTATAACACAACACTTTGGTTATTCAGGAGTTTTCCTGCTTTAAAAAAAAAATTGACAGGCAGTGAAGTTGCATTTTGTCAAACGATTAATCACATCCAAAATAAAAGTTTTTTTTGTTTACATAATATATGTGTGTACTGTGTATATTTATTATATATATATATATATAAATACACACACATGCATGCATATGTTTAAGAAAAATATGTTAAGTTTATACATTTAAAATATTTATAAATAATAGCAATTATATGAATATAAATATATAAATGGAAATATGTGGAAATATTCTCAAAATATATACTGTATGTGTGTGTATTTATATATACAAAATAAATATACACAGTACACATACACCTATTATGTAAACAAAAACTTTTATTTTGGATGTGATTAATCGCGATTAATCGTTTGACAGCACTATAATATTTGATGCGATTTTTGGTTTGGGTTAGATGCTTATATGATCAATAACTCAAACATCCTGTGAAAACAATGCATTTACCTGCTAAATAATTAACACTAACATTCAAAATTTGGGGACAGTATTTTTTTTAAAGAAATTAATACTTTTATTCAGCAAGGCTGCTTTAAATTGATCAAAATTGACAGTAAAGACATTTCTGTTGCAAAAGATTTTTATTTCAAATAAATGCTGTTGTTTTGAACTTTCTTGTTATCAAAGAAAGTTGAGCAGCACACCTGTTTTCAACATTGATAAGATGTTTCTTGAGCAGCAATTCCGCATATTAGAATTACTTCTGAAGGATCATGTGATACTGAAGACTGGAGTAATGCCTGCTGAAAATTCAGCACCTCACAGGAATAAATTACATTTTGAAATATATTAAAGGGGTCATATGATGTTGCTAAAAAGAACATTATTTTGTGTATTTGATGTAATGAAATGTTTATGCGGTTTTTTCCATTTTTATTTTCCACATACTGTACATGATTGTTTCTCCTCTATGCCCCCTTTCTTTGCTTGAACATTTGGGCGGCGTTATGCAAATTTTCCCAGATCGTGACGTAGGTATGTGGGGGTGTGTTAGAACGAGCCGTTTTAGGTAGGAGTGGCTGGCTCTTAACTTTTATAAAGAATATCTCTTTGGATTTGAGACTTTAGTCTTTGCAACTTTACAGATCTTCTTTATGCACCAAGAGCTTGTAACATTCCAAAGAGAAAGGAAAAATTGAAATCGCATCATATGACCCTTTTAAATTAAAACAGACATTTTAAAATGTAATAATATTTGACAATATTTTAGTTTTTCCTATATTTTTGATAATAAATGAAGCCTTGGTAATCATTACCGTCTCTTGACTACCATGTATGTGTAATATTCCATGTGGTCTTTCTTTTTCCCAGGATGGAGCATCAGGGGAGACGGTGGAGGAAACAGATCAGAGTTTAGAAGAGCTGATGGCTCAGATGAGAAAGATGTAAGGGAACAACAAGCAAGAGGAAAATGACATCCTTGAACTCAGAAAAAACTCTCCCACAGACACTAAAGACAAACTCATTATTATCTAGTACTTATATACGTGTAACATCTGAGGTCTCATACTAAATGAGTTTGGATTTAGTTTTTTTATTCTGTTTTTGCAGGCAGCGTGTAACACTCAAGATATACAGGTTTACTTCAACTGAAAGTCTTAATACTGCTGATCTTTGATTTTCACAGTGTTAATGTTTCAGAGTTGTCATGGAATGGTTAATAGAACCAATCTGAAAGATTGTTTTTAAATAGCTGTTGTTACCAGCTATGTGACGGAAATGGATACGTCATCTAAATATGTTATTGTCATGTCTGATACTGAATGTGGTTGTAGACACCCAGCCAGATGTTATAAAGAACAGCACACAAATATTTCAGATATCTCGTCATTGGCCTGATTCTGACTGCTGTATTGAATGGTATAACATTGTAATAATGCAAATGAAAAAATAAATGTGTTGTTACATTCCATATTGCTTTTCCTGCATTTAAACTAGTAGATCAATCTAAAGAAGCCTTAGCAATAGTTGTGAAATCGGTTTTCCTCTGCATAGAGTAAAAACCTCTACAACTGTTATTTTCATTCAATTATGCATTTATTGGTAGATAATACACAATATTTTGTGCATGGATCATGTGCATTAGAAGAATTTGGGTATAAAGTACACCTCTTTGGCAGTGTATAAAAGTCCTGGCACAAATTGTATGACAACAATGTGATGTAATACAAGCAATAATGGAAGTTTAGAGTAAATTATTAAATAATTAGCACGTTCTCCCAGAATCTAACAGTTCAAAGATGATTTTTCTACAAAAATGAGGCACATTACACTGATTCTGCTTTAGCACCTTTCCAAATAGTTTTTTAACACCCATAAGTATTTGCAGACATTCAGAAATTAAGAGTTTGGCATTTCCACTATTTTGCATCCATTTAGTATTTAATATTCCTTCATTATACATGTCTCTCTAAGTAAACAGGTAACCATCAGAACCAGACACGTGCGATATGGCAAGGTATTTCACATTCACAATTCAAAATGTAAAAAAAAAAAAAAAACAGCAGTACCATTTCCAAATACAAAAATATGGGTTGTAATATCATGGATCTATCTTTTCAGATAAACAGTCATTGTATAAACTAAACTACATATATTGACACTGTCATTATGCATTACAAGAAGCATAATTATTGCACATGCTGTGTTCTGTGGTGTTGAACCATTTAAATGCTTCTTCTCAAAAATGTGAGACCTATACAATAAATAAAATATTGAATACAATAAATTCAGACTCATTTTATTCATTACCTGTATCTTGATATCATGTTATAGTGTTTTGTATGGCTATGTATGACAGCTGTCCTTTAGTAATACTGTGCAATTTACAACAGTTCTGCAATTTATGGTGTTATAAGGTTACTTTGCACGACAGGAAGCAGGTCATAGACCAGAGGAAGGAGCTGAGACTCTGGACCACATATTTCACGTTTACAAGAAGGTATTTAGTCATTGTATTGCAATTCTCAAATGATGCGAACTTCCATTATGCTTGACTTTGTGTTTGTCTCGACTTTGTGTTTGCATATGCTGAAGGCAGCAGTGATAGAAACCTGAAAAAATCTGCTGAAATTGGTCACACATCAGCTTTTCCGAAAAGTTTCTGTACCATGCAAGTGAAAAGTGCTTTGGAAGAAACGAATACTGACATTGTATAAAATACCAAGGTAATTATATTTCTTCCACCAACATTTTGAACTTAAACCAAGTCATTCGACTTGCACTCAAGTTTCTAATAAAAAAAAGTTTCTCATAGTGATAATTGGAGGAAAATAACTTGAATTTTCTATTAAGTAAATATATAGAGAAAATGTAAGTAATATTTTGCATTGCATGAACAATCATGCTTCATTACTATGAAGGCCTTTTGTCGTCTGAGAGAAGAAAAAGATAATTGCACCATTTCTTGCAGTTGCAACGTCACACTTCGTAACTGCGGCTTCATATCTTGATATGCAATATTGTTTTTTGCTATTTCGCAATTGTGATTTTATATAATTGTAACCCAATTTCACATTACAATGTTTTTTCAACAAATTACTTCATATCTCATAGCAACATTATTTATAGCAATTGTGACTTCTTATATCGTAATTGCAACTGCACATCTCGTAATTGCAATTTCTCCTAATTGCTACTATATATCTTGTAACTGCAACTTCATATCTTCTAATTGCGACTTCATATCTCATGACTTTAGTGTTTTTTTTCACATCATTTCTCATAATTGCAACCTTATTTTTTGTAATTTAGACTTTATTTCTTGCTATTGTGACCTCTTATCTCGTAATTGTGACTTCATATCTCACTACTCAGTATCTCATGTACCTTTATATCTCCCAAATGTATTTAAACTTCTAACAGTCAGTTTTTTTTTACACTCTTAAGTGGCCTTCCATAAATAACACTATTCTGGTCATAGTGACTTTACTAAACACTACTACACCTAACAGTTTACCAGCAGTGCATTTGAAATGTCATTGGTATGCCGATGCTATGGAGTGCTGTTTCAACAGTCATTGAAAATCACAGGTATAAAACACTTTCTCAGGTTTTGCCTTTTTGAGAGTCAGAGAGCACCTTCTATAAACCCAGTGGCAATGAGTGATACATTAAAACACTTATGATTCATACTGTAAATTACAGTAGGAATGAGAACCACGTTGGATTCCAATGTTTTCTTACCATGCATATTTGATTGCTCCATGTAGACTTCAAGCACATGCATGAACACATCAAGTGTGGCCAATATGGCTTCATTAATAGAGGTAAGAGTGCACCTTGGTAAGTGTTGAGGGGTCAGGTGTCACCTTGAGGTGTGAGGGAGGGCGGGGCTTCGGAGGCTAAAGGTATCGCCGCTAGATGAGTGACGTGAGGGGGCCTTACCGCACACCAGAGATGGCTCTGCCTCTTTTATTTCCATTGCTCGCTTGTACAGTTCAGCAGCATTCTCAAAATCTCCCTCTTCGTAGCTGAGAAAGTAAGAAAGTTTTGCCATGTTGTTGCTATGAAGTTGCTAGGGTGTTCTGGATGGTTGCTACGCGGTTATTACTGGTCCAAGTTATAAAATTCTGGTTTCTAAATATGGTTAATTACTTTTCCTCTATCATTTACATATTTATTAAAAAACAATATTTACAAAATATACTAAAATGTGCCCAAGGAGCAGCATGTATAATCAAAACAGCAGGGGGCATAATACAGATCCTTGAGGCACTTCATATTTGACTGCTGTAAATATTTGTCTTTTTGCAAAGATTTCAGATGACGACAACATTTGTAAAGACTCCAAATTATGCCAACCTTAGATTAACATACAAAACTATCAAATCCCTTACGATGTAATATTATCCTTACATTGTAATCATTATGAGCACAAGTTCTTAATTACTGCCTAACACGTTTGTTGAATGTGCCGTGAATTTAATCTAAATCTAATGGGTACAGCTGAGTTAAGAAAATATGGCTAACCTGAGTACAGCCAGGTTTTTCAGAGTCTCTCCAACACGAGGGTGTAGTCGGCCGAGACTGTCCTCATATACCTTTAGAGCGCGCTCGTACAAAGGCAATGCATCACTGTGCTGCTTCTGCAACACAAACACACATCACATGAGTCACATCATCAGAGAGCGGACAGGAAAGTTTTACAGTACAGCAGGTGGGAGAAGTCTCTCACCAGCTGGCAATAGAGCACTGCAAGATTAACCAAAGCGGTGGCAACACTGGGGTGTTTAGGCCCGAAGCTCTTCTCTCTGATTTCAAGAGCCAGTTCATATAGAGGAACTGCCTTTTCCAGCTTCCCCTATCATACACACAGACAGACAGCCAATTAAAAAGGGTCTCAGATTTGTTAATAATATTAAAAAGACAAAAGCACACAAAGACAAACATTGCAGAATGAATGTATGCATAATTGCCACTTGATTGCTACATGTTCTGCAGAGCTAGTGGGTTGTGACTCTTTCCTGTGGTTTCTCACCCTGCGTTTGTAAAGCATGGCCAAGTGTTTGAGGGTATAGGCGAGAGAGGGATGATCTGGGGCGAGTGCTCGTTTACGGATGTCAAGTGCTCTTTCGTACAGCTCCTCGGCACTCTCATACTCTTTCCTTTCGCTGTGAAGCGCGGCTAGGTTGTTCAGAGACTGGGCGCAGTCAGGGTGATCTGGCCCCAGCACGCGCTGGCGCATCTCCAGGGAACGGGTCAAGAACATTTTTGCAGCACTAGGTTATAAATACCAACATGTTAAAATGCATATTATATAACTGCAAATGGAAAATGTGTATTTGTATTATCAATAAAGTGCTGAAGTATAAGAACAGTTTACAATGAGTTGTCCATACAAAGTAAGTCTTTTCACAAATGATGGACAATCCTGTCAAGAGTTCCTTCTTTTTTTCATGGTACATTTTAGGTGCCCATTGAGTGTAATACATGAGGAAAGACATTTAAACTATTTTCAAGACAAGGGATGAAATGATTATATATGATTGGTTTAAACAAAACAGCAAGACAGGCTGAATGAAAATGCTAATTTACTCTCTGACAGTAGGTGGTGATTATTGAAAAAAAAATACTGGTTACCCCAGCTACCCCTGTACACAGCAGTGCAGAGCTCATAAACACCACCTTATTAGGCATTTGCATGAATCACATGACTGGCCTATTTCAATGCCATGGCTAATTTCGTATATAGAGTATA